ACCTGGCCTCCACCGAGCTGAATGGCATGCTGATGATGGAACTCAGCCTTTTGATTCAGGTGTGTTGAAGCTGGGATGCAGCAATTGATGATCAATATGCAGCATCCACCTGCAGTGTATGGGTATGAACATGGATTTCCTTTGGGAACTGTGCTGCAGATTTTATACTGACTGATGAAATGCATCTTACCTCTTTCAGTATAATGAGGCTTGTTGTGAACAAAACTCAACATATCACCTGCATTTTTCTTGGGTGTGTTAGTATTACTCAGGGTGAATTAGTGGCATATTATTGTTGGGTCGACTTTAATCTGCCGATTTCATCAGTAGAGTTTTGAGGCAAAAAAATATGTTGATCTCAGAAGAGGGAGTGATCATCTGTCGCAGCCTTTGAGTGTCCAGCTATGCTTCTTCCACCCCGGCTTCATGTACCTGGATATCGATCATAACCTCACAGATTTTGGATTTGTTCAGGGTCTTTGCCCCTCTGAACTCTGTTAACACGCCTGCCTCACCAGGTCTGAGTCTTCAAAGAGGGGAGCGTGAGAAAACAGCTCTTAAACAATTCCTTGTTGTTTGAACTTCCCTCCCTGGTTGTGTCACCAGTCACTCATCATCATGACTCTTTGGCAGCGTTTGACCTGAAAGCCGCTCCCAAGAAGCGGCTAGCTCTGTTCCAGCTTGCACATTCAAACTTTTGTTTGAAAATCTGGTTTACCCAACAGTTTGGGTCCAAAATATATTAAAAACTTTACAGAAAGAGACTTTTTTTGTAGCAACAAAGCTCCCTAGCATTTGTATAACCTGCATTCCCATGGGTACCTGTGAACTTTAAAAAGGTTTTATTAGATATTTGCATAGGCAAGACAACTTCCTATGTACAAAAAGAAAATATTACATCTTCCTGCCCAAAACATTGCATTCCTCACATTGGAGTCACATATTAAAATTATTTTTTTAAATGTACATGATTGTTTCAAAATGAACAATCAAATTTAAAACATACATTTTTAGAAAATGTATTCAAACTGTTGAGGTTCCACTTGAATGATTCTATCTGGTAAATAATATGTAAAGCAGAAGTCCGTCTGAAGTACGTTTAGAGCTTTGTGGACCACAGAAAACTTTATTAACCATCTTGCAAACACAAATAAGATCACAAGTGGTGTGGTTGAAATTAGGTTTCACAATCACGAAAACCCGGATGCTTCTCATACATCATTAACCACCATATCAAATATTCTGACCACTCTTACTTAAAAAGATTTGGAAGTTGTTTACTATCCACCAAAATTTCACTTCAAAGTGACTGTATTACCTCTGATCCATGCTCTCAACTTCAGCTTTCCGACAGGTCTATTAGAAATTGATACAACCAGGTCCATATCACTACTGGCTTCATTCCACTTCAATCAGTAAACTACTTTTCTAAGCTTATCACCAGCTATTCAGTAATTACTGCTACTTTCAACAAAATTAAAATGTGAATTTCAGCAAACTTGCATCCAGGTTTGCAAAAATCATCAAAGTCTAGTTTACGTAATACTAGAACTCCAGTCGTTTTAATTGCCAGATCTTCAGAATGTACTTTTGTAGCTTGACTCTATATGACTGCATACTTTTTAAACTGAAACATATGCTCATGTTGCTAAGAATTGCAGAAAAAGTTGAGAGCAACCCATTATTAAATAACTTGAGGTAGCTTTACAAGCAAAGAAAATTATTTTAATGTGATCTTGTGGTGAAGAGACATTTTTATCTATCTATCTATCTATCTATCTATCTATCTATCTATCTATCTATCTATCTATCTATCTATCTATCTATCTATCTATCTATCTATCTATCTATATTTTTTTAATTTTATTTTTTTTTGATAATTATTTGTTTAAGATTCTTTTATATTTTTCTTTTTCATTTATATTGCAGATTTGTCAATGACCTTTTAAAATTATTTTCTTTTCTCTTACACAGAGATTCTCATGTCATAGTTACTGGCACTTCTAGTAAAGATGTGTGAGGCATGCAATTCATTTATTTTTATAGAATGTCCTTTGATGAGGAAAAAAAGTCTGTTTTTAATTTGAGTACAGTTATATATCGGGGCGGGGGGAATCTGCTGACAAAACAGATATTCTTTTATTTGGAATTATGTTTTCCATAATTGGCACCCCATGCTATGAAAACTTTGGACAGTGATGGTTCCTCCCCTATAATATGCAATATGTTATTTTTGATTTTGCATTTTCTTGGCAATAATTTCTCTTAGCAGACGTTTAAATGATTTACATTTGGCATCAGGGCATTGTAGGTAGATGCAATGATGTGAAAAAATTAAACACCCCAATTGATATTCAGCTTGCTGATAGGAAATGCTCACATATTGACGTCCAGTCTCATTTGTTTTATTCTAAACCATTCATAAAAACCATGAAGCTTCTTGATATTTGTGTCATAGTTGGTTCGACATTATTTCCCTACAATGCTGAATCTGGTTTTTGCTTAAAATATCCTCCCTCTGTGGAAAAGACTAGGAAGCTGGTGGTGAATTTACCCAGAGACAGACCCACCACACTGACATGGTGTAGTGGGTCAACTATGTCAGTTCCCTGGAGAAACTGATATTTAGATAGTGGACACTTAAAATCACCTGGGTTTTCACCTGGAGATTAAACTGAACTGGAGTCACAACACTGATGGCTTTTACAAAAAGGGTTAAATCAGACTCTCCCTGATAATTCACCTTTTCCACTGGCTCGACTGGCTTCGCACGGCTCTAATCTGCTCATCCTCGTTCTTCTTTGCACCGAGCCAGTTGTGTTTGCATTGAGAAACAGCTGGATTTCAGGCTTGACCATGCAGTCTTTCATTTACCTTTAACTCACTGGTGGTAGACCTGAATTTATCCACCGTGGGGGAAATAAGGGATATTACTATTCTATCCTTTCTTCTATTCTCAATTTAAAATTTGGACTCTTATGACCATCCAACATCTTCCGGGCAAAACTGGGAGTTCTTTTGAATGCCCTTCGCTTGTGGACTTTTTAAATACTCAATCAAATACATAAACTGCTCCGAACTGCTTTCTGAAGACCTGATTTTAGTTTTTCTGGAAACTTTTTCTACTTTTCTCAAACGACTGTTCATTCATGCTTTTCTTGACATACAGGACGTTGTACTGTATGCGCTCTGCTTTGTTATAAGAACACTTCTCTGTTCTAACTTTTTCAAAACTTAGCGGCATGAAAGCTGACAAAGATCTATAAGGGAGTTCATATTAAATCCCCTGTTAAACATTCTGCTTTGAATTTTGATATGTTATCTAACCCACTGAGGATAACCCTCATCTTATAGGGAAGATCAATCGAAGAGCCTGTCTGGAGACCATGGCTCAGAGCAGAATGACTCTGTTTTTTAAACAAGTTCCAGGTTGATGTTTTTAGCTTTTTTAATGAAAATAATATCTTGTTTCCATGCTATGCTACTTCGTTTTAGTTACTTATTTGGGTTTGAAATATGTTTTTATCACCAAATATTTTGCATCTTAGTTTTCTTCCTCTAAAAATACTAATTTGTGCTATTTATATTATTCAATCAATCAATCAATCAATCAATCAATCAAATTTTATTTGTATAGCACATTTCAGCAGCAAGGCATTTCAAAGTGCTTACATAATTAAAATAAAAACAGCATGTAATAAACAGTGAGAACGAGAAAGAGATTTAAAAAACATCATTAAAACGTTAACAGTGAGAAAGATAAATAAAAAGCTGTAGAACTTTAGTTGAGACGCCTTCAACTGGGACTCCAACCCTTTGGACTTTAGTCAAAACGCCGTTTGACAAGGACTCTAACCTCTTGGACTTTAGTCAAAACGCCGTTTGACAAGGACTCTAACCTCTCGGACTTTAGTCAGAATGCCGTTTGACAAGGACTCTAACCTCTTGGACTTTAGTCAAAACGCCGTTTGACAAGGACTCTAACTTTTCGGACTTTAGTCAAAAACCCGTTTGACAAGGACTCTAACCCTAATTTAGCCATAAGCAACTCTAAACAGGTGGGTTTTAAATTGAGATTTAAAGGCACCCAGTGTTTCAGCTGTTTTACAGTTTTCTGGAAGTTTGTTCCAAATCTGTGGTGCATAGAAGCTGAATGCTGCTTCTCCTCTTTTTGTTCTGGTTCTGGGGATTATTGAAGGCTGTGAGTATTTTATTCCTTGTGGTGTTTTTATGAGATATGCATAGATATTTTCCCCCTGCAAAATTTTCTTTTATATGAAGGGTGTAAGTAATTTCAATATTCTTACTGGGTAATGCTAAGCTTTTTGAAACATCTTTGTTTTCTAATGCTCACAGGTGTCTCTTATAGGTCCCTATATGCATTTTTCTTTTTTACCACAATCTTTACTCATTTATTCTCTGCTCCTCTTAAAAACAATAAGCTGTACAGATGATTGCTGAAATCATCTGTGTCACACAGTAATGTGTTATAATGGGGAAAACGACGTAGAGCGTCCTAGTGAGAGGAAGAGAGAGTGTGATCATTGTTCCATGAAGTCTATTTTCTCGGTGAGCAGATATCCATCTTCCAGGTTTCCTCTGGGATTTTCCCGACCGTTCTGTGTAGCTGTAGTGCGACGTTGGGATGTCGCTTAATGCAGGTGGCTTATTTTCATGTATCCTGGCAAGGACAGGATATGTGGATGGCAGCCATTTTACTGCAAATGTGACAATTTTATGCCTCCAGCCGAGGTTAATGATGTTTTCCCCTCGTATTAATAGGTCGTAATAAGTGAGGGAAGTCTGATACATTGACTTGTGTCCACACATCTGTATTTGACTTTTTCTTAAAATCTGCTGACAGATTTTTTTTTACGCCTCTTTTTACCCTGCTTATCTTTTCTAATATTAATCTTCTGATCTTTTTTTCTTCCAATCCCTCCCTGACTTCTGTCCTCCTTCCCTCCTTCCTGCTGTGGTGTGGCTGTAACTATCTACAGACTGGCAATATGAGGGTAAGACTGATCTCCCTTTTTCATCCTTCGTTAAACATGTTCACATACTGGTTAATTTATCCTGCTGACCCAGCGGAGATGGTTATAGTGGATTAGGCCCGTGTCTTAAAAAACGCTACTTTAATCTGTTTTTACTGCCGGTTCCTGCTTCTCTTAGCTCACCTTGTTTTACACTACATTACATGTAAGTTATAAAATTCTTGTGTGTTTTTTTTTTTTTTACGGCATATGCTTTCTCACTGAACAGAGAACAACGAGGTTAATAAACTATAGACTATATGTGCCACAGCTCATGCTTTATTTATCTTTATGAGTTTATTGCTGTTGTCCTTGCAGCATTTTGTACACACTTCAGGGCCTTTTTCAAATCATTTTTCTCATAAATACTAAGTGCTTATCAAATAAAACCACCCACAGTGTTCCCAATAAAGTTTTATATTGCCTTTTTTTTAACATAGTAGATCTGAAGATGGAAAAAACCCACCCATGGAGGTATTAGTGTAATCTTATCTTGACTTACTCTTTTTTTTTTTATCCTTTCAGAATGTAAACTCTCCCGTTCTGGTCCTCCTGCTACCATCGTGGCCATAGATGAAGAAAGCCCCAATGGTAAAGTACTGCCGCGTTCTATCATTTCATACTTTAGGTTTAAAAAACACTTTTGGAGGTTGTAATGAATTCAATAAACAATTAGGAAATATATATATATATTTTATTCTATTAGCTTTTTCTCCATTTCACACAGCTTTCAAAAGTGAAAAATGCAGGATCGCACACCTGTGTCTGCTGTAACATCTCACAGGAAGTTGGATCTTGATCACATGTTTTTGTCTGAATCAAAAAGCTTGTGGTATTTCAGATTTGGATACTTGACTACTGTCTTTTAGAATTGGACGGACCTTAGAAGTTGGTTGGTTTCCTAGCATGGACCTGCTTTTTCAGCATTACTGACAAAGCATTACAATTTGATTCCAAATTCCAGATTTCTCTATTCTGGAATAAATTTTATGTTAAAGATCATTGTCTAGTTGGAACTCCCAATTAACTCCATTCCCTTTGCTTTTAGTCTACTTATCAAAAACTTTTCTCTTATTTTATTTGAGTGATTTTTATTTTTTCCCTCCTTTCCTGACTACCATAATGGTAGTCAGGAATATTGACTACCAGTGAATGGACCTTCCAGACACAGGGGTCACTCACTTGCAACACAGTTACTGCAGTCAGGGGATCTCCATTTCACTCACTGTGAGAATACTATCACCATTTGGCTGGACCTCTGATGCATTTGGTCAGTTATTTTAAAAGGGCTTAATATTTATGAAATCGCTTGTTTTATGTTAAATAATTTTATCAATTTGTTTTGTAGAAATCAGTTTTCATGTAAAAAAAAAATAGAAATTATATAAAAACAAATGTTTTAAAAATATATAAATATAATTTGGAATTCTAAGAGAGAAATTTGTAATACTTAAAAATCCAAGACATGTAGGTTAGCGCTCCTCAGAATGTGATAAAACAAATTTCAGCCCAGGAAGCTGAAGTCTGTTCATGTCTGTTCTTAACCTATTCAAACTCACGTCTTTGTTCGACCCTTTAACAAAGATCTCAGTCTGCATATCACATCCTTGCCTTGTCTCAGTAGGTTGTGTTAAGCAACAGATGATGCTTGGCATGCAGCCTGAACTCATTAATTCATTAGGCTTGTACCAACAGTATCACTTAAATACAATCTGTGTTGCAGAGGAAATGACCTAAATCACTGTGTGACCAGTGCACCAAAGTGATATAATTAACTCTTTATTACTGAGCCTCTGATTTGCTGATGGTTAAATTTTATTACCTTTGATGGCTTCTTCGCTGTTTTCGGATGCAGCTGTTGCTGACTGTTGCACCACACCAAACAGGTACACTGTAAGGCAGAATATATGTTCTTGTCTCAGTCAAACTATTTCCTAAAATGTGAGACTTTAAATATGAACTTTGAGGAGTTGAGATGAAATTGACAGTAAAATTATAACTTTAGAGGAAGGATTGTGTTTATTCTGCAGTATTTTTTCCCCTCTTGGAATATGAGTATATTAAAAGTTTGTTTTCCAGGTGATCAGATTTACTTGACATTCTTCTTGTTTGTTCTTTTTAATTAAAAATGTTCTCTTCTTCTTTTTTTTTTTTTTTTTTTTTTTTTTGCATTTTCTGGAACTCTCCTTCCTTTCTGTGTCTACTGAAGTTATGCTGAGGCATTTTACCTTCCCAAGCTGCATTTTCTTCTAACATTTCAGATATGCTCCATGAAAAAATCTGCAAATAGGTGGATTTAATTAGAATTATTTTGAGTCCCATTTTGCAAATAAAAAAACATCACAAAAAGGTCGGTGGTCCACTGTGAGCCCTTCCTTGGTAATATTGCTATTAAATGTTGCCTAAGGACATGCTGAATCCTTCTAAATAATACCCGTAGTAATTGGTGTGTGTGTTTCTGTGTAACGCATTTCAATTGTATTATAATGGTGACCATTTTTTGACCATATTAAATATTTTACTTTATTCGACAACCAGTAAATACGTGACCTCATTGCCTTTATGAAACATAGCTACTCAGCAGCTTACCAAATGCAGTTTTAAAACCGTTAGCAGTGTTTATATTTATTGAGATCCCCATTAGCATCAGCAGCATGCTGCATCAGCTACTCTTCCTGGGGCCAGTTTACTGGATTTCAAACCTTTATTCTCTAAGTTTTATGTGACCTGAAAACATTTCCACACAGACAAATTGGTCTTCAGTGTCGTTCTTTAAGCCAGCTTACTGTCAGTGCAGAGCAACACGCTGGGCAGGGCAGGTGCTGCACTACTTAATGTTTTAAGCAACCAGAGAAAACTTAATCTGGCACGGTTGCGTTGGGAACAGTACTGGTGAGAATTCTTGCAGTTTTGAAACCATAACTTCTGTTTTTAGCCGCTTTACACCAGTATACAACCTTGGCCAAAACATGACTTCCTAGTGCTAAATCACCTACCGCAAGAGAAGTTTAGTTTGATTCATTATCAGACAAAGAGGTGGGGGATTATTATTTTTTAAATAATGTATGTAAACATCTGGTTTTAGATGCTAGAAACCAAACTTTAACACCTACCGATTATTCTCAGTTTGATTACACTTACCGATGACAGATTTTATAAAACTATTGGAATATGTGTCTGAAAGTCTTGTCAAATGTAGACTTTACCATGCACACGAAGCAGGATTAAATAACTGCAGAATATTTTGGTCTAAATTGTCTCATCATATCAAAAATCATTCTCTTAATTGCTCAGGAGTTGAATTCTTTTGCAGATTTGAGGAGAAAACTGAATAATTAAAATTCCTTTCAACCGGGCTTTTTGCTTTGCATCACTGAACGTGTAGTTTTGTCGGAACATAAAAACCCTCTCATCACTTTGTTAGACAAGACTAAAAATCATAGGACGAATGAAGGCAACAAGAGCCTTTCTCCAAAAATAAATAACAGATAAGAAGCAATTAATGAACAAACATACACGTGTTATACTACACTGCATGTCTGCCTCAGCATAACACTAAAATTTTGATTACTAATTTAATTTTTTTCTAGAAACCTTGTTTTGTCTCAGAAAATAGCAAACAAGTGCTGATCACAACAGTCCACATTGACATTACCGGAGATTAGCATGGAAACATCAGACATGCGTTTCCTTTTATCCCCACAGCTTGTTGGTATCTGTTGATTGCTTAGTGTTGTTGATTGTTCATTACTGTGGAGAAATTCATGCAATTTCTATTCACCCTTTTTACTATTTTCAACAGTTCTTCTTCCATATGCAGTACATGTTGCTGGAAGGGGAAGCTGCATGCAGGGATTTGCTTTTTTTTTTCCTACTGTACCATTCTGATATTCAATGGTGAGAACAAAAACATCTAATAGGTCTTTGTAGTGTTTTTCAGTATAAAGCGAAAGTGAACTAAAATAAGCGATAATAATGATATACTGGGACTTCTCACACAAATAACATGGAAAACCTCATTGAAAATACAAACACAATTTTATACAGACTGGTTAGTGTTTTGTTTTGGCTGTGCGAATGCAGCAGATATGTGGTTTATATAAAATAAAAGCCCGTTTACATTTATTGTAGAAATACTACCTAGTAAATTGTTCTACTAAAGTAATTATTCTTGCCGTATAACAGATGCACTACAGTTCAGAATATCCTGCAGTATGGAGATCCGGTCTGGTTTTGGACCTGCTGTTTAACCAAAGACCAGGATAATGAGGCTATTTACAATTTGTTCTACAGTAGTGAGCCAACCTCTGCAGACATTCTTCCTTAACAACTCCTCTAAAGACACCCTGAGGCTGAGGATCCCCATCGTGGAAAATCAGCTTTTACTCCATATAGGAGGAACACATACACATTCACGTCTAGCTACTCAACTGACATTGCAAGACAATTTTCTGTACAACCTGACAATAAAGGCATGCCTTCTAGTGCTCTGGAAAAGTATTGATACCCCTTAATCTTTTCTTTGTTTCGTCTTGCAAACTGATAATTTTCTGTAATTGACCTAGATTAATGCATAAAAGTGAGAATAATGGAAAAGAATACCTGGTTCATTTCTTCTGCCCTTCAGTCAACTCATTAGTAAGTGATCCAACCCTTGCATATTTTACTCCAAGTACAAATGTAAGTGCTTTGTGAGGACATTATTAAATCAAACTCCTGATGACGTCCGAAGAAGACACCCGACAGTTCACAGATAAATAAGGAGACAATTTTAAAATAGACTGTGTAAACACCTCTGAAATCACTGCCTGACCAGTTAACCTTGAATGTGAACACAATGAAACAACTTTAAAGAAATGTTTTAGAAGTTATTCTGGTGGGATTAGACCAAAATCAAACTTTTTGGAAAGCTGGATTGCGCTAAATACAGGGCAATCCTGGAAGAAAACGTGTTGGTCTGCAAAAGACTTGAGGCAGGTTCACCTTACAGCACCTCTAAGCATAAAGTGAGAGTTAGTGTGGAGAGGAATATATTGAATCATATTCATTTATTGGAATTGCCAGGATCTTCATCTAATTGATACCGTTTGGCACCACTTGAAAATCGATGTTCCTATACTTTCTGGACTAAGCTTGAGATTTTTTGCAAAGTCTGCATATCTGTAAAAATACTAAACATCCTAAAAAGATTAGCAGCTGCAACTTCAGCAAAATTCTGTACAATATTAAACCAGGAGCCTAAATGCATGTCCTTTCTAAAACTGATTTTTTTTAACGTTTTTGAAGAATATGGATCCTTTTCTTCCAACTTCACAGTTATGCACCACTTTGCATTTGTCTGCCACGTAATATTCCAATAATGTGCATTAAGAGCAGTGCCTGTAATGTGTCAGAGTATAAAGAAATGGAGGGGGAATATATATCCAAGTACTTCATCTCATCTCTTCTTATTTCATTTGATCTTCCTTAAGGAATACTGGAAACTGGTCAATAACTAAATCTGGCTCCACATCTTTTTCTCCTGTGAGAATAATGTTTCTGTACATGGTCCTGAATAAATAAACCCAACACAGCCTCGTTTTAGATGCAGT